AGGGGGAATGGGATGTGCAGAAAGGGGGAAGGGAAGGGCGAGAACTCACCTGCCAGGAGAATGATAAGAACTAAGAACATAATTGCGAGGGCGACTGCGAGCACAATTGTACATGTCTTGTAGTTACATTTCCTGCAGTTAGGACGAGGATCTGAAACAGAAAGACTTGTCAGGCAGGGCTGCGAGGACACGTCTCCCCGACAGCCCCAGGGCTGGAGCTGCCTTAGAACAGTGGTTCTCACCCACCGGTTCGTGTACCCCTGGGGGTAAGCAGAGGTCTTCCACGGGGCACATCAACTCATTGAGAGATTTGCCTCGTGTTACGACAGGCTACATAAAAAGCACTAAGTCAGTACAAGCTAAAATTTCCGACAATGACTCGTTTATACTGCTCGATAGACTATACACAGAAAGGTACAGCGTTTATAGTCCAATTGATCTATTTCATAATTAAATACACAACAATGAGAGAGTCAGCAATTTTTCAGGAATAGTGGCTGTGACATGTTTGTATTTTTATGTCCGATTTTGGAAGCAAGTTGTTTTTAAGTGAGATGAAACTTAGGAGAGTGCAAGACAAATCAGCCTCCTGACAGGGGGACAGTCATCTGGAAAGGCTGAGAGCCACTGGACTCGAGCATGCACCGTTCTGTTGATTGCTCCTTCCCTCAGACGCTCTGGGAGAGGAGCCCGGAGGGCCAGGCAGGCTGGGGCTGGCCCCTCCTTCCCCTCAGACCAGTGCCCTCCCCTGGGCACTCCCAGCCAGGCTGCCAGGAGGCCTGGTGAGCTCAGGGGCACAGAGATAAGGACCCGCATGTCCTGGTGGCAGTTGCTCCAACTGCCCCCGACCATCCCCACCCCCATTCTGCCCCCTGCCGAGTGCTGGCTGGGCCCACACTGCCGAGTGCCCCTGTCCCCGCACACTGGGGTCTCACACTGGCCAGACACAGCAGAAGGAGGGAGAACGAACCAGGCAGAGATGGGCCAGGGCTGTCACAGGGGGTCTGACACACCCAGCCGAGGAGGGCCCTGCACAGCCCCACGACCTCCGCTGTGTGCGCCAGACAGCAGCTGTGAGCCAGGGATCGGTGCCCTGAGAGCCCCTGGGGGTGATCCAGTCCTTGCTGCCCACAGACGGGGCGTTGCTGGGCACTGGCTGCTGCCACTGAGAGCCTGGCCCCATGTGGGGAAGCCTCAGTGTCTCTCTCCAGCCTGTTCCCAGGCAGCGACACCCCATTACCTGGCTCTCCTCCAGTCTCCAGGTCTCCATTGCCCTCAACAGGCCACTCCTGCAGCGGCTCTTCGCTCCCAGCAGGTCCAGCTGCTGGCCCCATCGTCTCTCTCAGTGACACTCGGGCTGCACACGCTGCTGGAGGCGCTGGGCTGGGGTTGGCTCCTCTCTATGACTGTGTCCGATTCAGCAGCAACGAAGCGGAGCTGGGGCGGGGGTCCTGGCCCTGCTTCCCCCCACACCCTGCTCTGGACTCTCCAGCCGATCTGAAAGTCGAGACAGACCCAGCAGGACAGGTCAGTGGGGCGGGGGGGGAGGGGCGCGATTTGTGGTTTCTCGTTCCCTGCCCAGCAGCCCAACCCCCAGCCAGAGGCTGTGCCATGATGATTGAACCCCCTTAAACGCCATGGCCCCTCCATCCCCCAGGGCTTCAGAGACCTGATCTGCTGAGGACCCCACCCACCAGGCACCACCCACGCGTGACAGGCACCCAGCTGGGGTTGACAGGAGGGAAAAACCCTCCCTCCCCACACATACCTCCCGCAATCGAGAGCAAGTCGAGAATCCTAACAGGAGTGGGGAGTTGGCGGGCGGGGGGAGAGAACCAGGATGTAATGAGTAAAATCAAGGCAATTAAATCACCAAGTCCAACGCCTCAATTTAAATAATCAATTTTAATCAACTTATCAATTCACACTTCAGTAATTTTCTAAGGCCAAGTGCCCACTCAGTGGGTGACAGAACCATTAAAACTTCATGTCCAAAACTTCCCCCACGGGGAGGAGGAGGGGCGGGGAAATTGTGTGAGTGGCCCTTTCCTTCCCCCTTTTTCATTGGGAACGCAGGGAAGGGGAGGATGCCCGTGGGAAGCCTGGCCTGGGGCCCCCAAGGTTGGGGGTACCGGGAGCAACAGTGCGCTGCTGCCCCCCCCCCCCCCACAGGTGCCCCATCCCCAGCGAGCAGACCGAGGTGTGGGGAGAGCCACCAGACACCTAAGAGAGGCCCTGCCCCCAGAGGAGAAGGAAGGGGGGAAAAAGAGAGCCCCCCCCCCCCACCAGCCCAGAGAGGAGAAGAAGGGAAGGGAGAGGAGGCACCTCCCCCCCCCGAGCACGGACAGGGGGAGGGGATGGGGGGGGTGCGCCCTGTCACGGAGTGTGGGGGAGTCCAGGCCCTGCACCCCTCTTCATGGGATTCACTGAGACTCTCAGCCAGCCAGTAAAACAGAAGGTTTATTGGACAACAGGAACACAGTCCAAAACAGAGCTTGTGGGGACACCCAGGACCCCTCTGTCAAGTCCTTCTGGGGGAGCAGGGAGCTTGGACCCCAGCCCCAGGGTTCCCTGTGTTCCTCCACCCAGCCCCAAACTGAACTAAACCCCCCAGCCGGCTCCCTCCTGCAGCCTCTGTCCACATTCCCCGGCAGAGGTGTCACCTCCCCCCCCTCCCCCTCCTGGCTGAGGTGACAGGCTCTCAGGTCTCCCATCCCCAGGGCACATTCCCAGGTCAACACTCCCCCTCCCTGCTGCCTCACATCCTCACAGGCCTCCCCCGGAGCCCAGATGGGGGGGGGGGTGCACCGCCTCCCCCCCCGGAGCCCTGACTGGGGGAAACTTCCCCAGAGTCCTGCCTGGCTTCATGGGAGCAGTTCCAGAGCATCGCCCAGGGACTCCGGGACACCCCCCCAGCCCGGAGAGACGGGGGGTTCCAGCCCCTGCCCCCCCCATGTACCGGCGCTCCCCCCACGAGCCCGGCGCGGGTGGCATGTTTCTCACCGGCTCAGGAGCGACCGTCACCGTCCGGAGCCTCCCCAGCCTCTGCGACCCCCCGGCTGCGCTTTAAACCTCGCGCTGACTCCGCCCCCGCCCCGCCCAGTCCTGCCATAAAACATTTGAACATTTTGACCCCTGACTTCACTCGCTGACCCGCTTCCGCCCTCAGCAAAGGCTCGAGGGGCAGGGTCCTCCGGCCTGTCCGGAACCCAGCGCCCCGCCCGCCGGCTGGCTCGGACAGTCCAAAATGACGTGCCTGGTTCTCAGACTTGTCCCTGCTGCTGGGGATCAGCTCTCACAGCGGGGCGCCCCCCCGGCTTTCTCCGGGAGAAGCCCCCCCGGCCCCCCCCAGCTGTCTGCTGCCGGGTTCCCGGTCCCTTCCCTCCAAGCAGCTGGGAGTGGCCGCTCCCGGAGGCAGAAGACCCCGGGCTGGCCGGACCGAGTCAGACGCGGGACGGTTGTGCCCGAGGGGAGAGCGATAGTAATCCTGAACTTCAGCGAGGAGGAGCCAAGATGGCAATAAACAGGGTCCCACGTCATCGGGGTTGTAGTTGGGTTTGTAACCCCCCCCCCCCCCCGCGCCTGCTCCTCCACCCCCAGACAGATTTATTCCCTCTCCCTGGGGGCAGAACTTTATCTCCATTTGCCCAGCTCTTCTCTCCTGCCCACAGACCCCCCATCTCCACTGGTCTCACTGCAGAGCAGGTCGGTTCCTTGCTGGTTTGCCTCCCCCTCCGACTGTGGGCTGCTAAAGTGATCTCGGTTGGGCTGACAGCAAAGGGGGGGGGCTCAGGCAGTGTGGGGGGGGGGGTTGGATCTTAGTCCCAAGAGCTCCAATTTCCAGCTAGGGAAAGTTCCGCCGGGCAGGTGGGTGCTGACCCCCCTCTGCCCGCGCCCCGCTCCACCCCCGCCCCCTTTCCAACCCCTTCCCCAAAGTCCCCGCCTCAACTCCGCCCCCTCCCTGCCCCTATTCCGACTCCTTCCCCAAATCCCTGCCCTGGCACCTGAGCGCCCCATAATCCCGCTCCTCCCCCTCCCTCCCAGCGCTTGCTACAGCGGTTTGGGGAGGGCAGAAAAGGGGCCGCTGGGAGGGGGAGGAGTGGAGGCGGTTGGGTGGGGGGGCGGGGAGCTTGCCTGCGGGTGGGTGCAGAGCACCCACTAATTTTTCCCCAACGGTGCTCCAGCCCCGGAGCACCCATGGGTGGGCCCAAACCTGCCCCCCCAAATCAAGAGATTAGCTTAAAAATCAGCAAGGTATTAAACAAGGATGCAGCCTGTTTCTCCCCTGCCTGGTTTTACAGCCTGTGGGCACGTTTTCAGGCCTTTCTCCATGACGCTGAGGGCTACAAACTTCCTTTAATTTTTAAACCAAAGCTGAGATTCTCCCCAACTCACTTGTCTCTAGGAGCTGGGACTCCACATAAAACATCAAATATCCTCCGAGTTAGTGCTCTGGTCTGCATGTCACCTGTGGATCAGCCCCCCCCAGCACCTCCCCTCTGCCTGTGATCAGCTGTTCAGCGGTGTGCAGGAGGTGCTGAGGGGGGAGGACGGGGCAAGCCTGGGGAGGGCGGGGTTGGGAAGAGGCGGGGCCTGGGGCAGAGCAGGGGTCAAGCCCCCCCCCCGGAAATCAGTGCCTCGGTTAAAGAGACATTCACGTCCAGCTCTGGCAGAAGCAGGGTGGCTTTGGGGGCATGACCATATGACTCAAAGGGTTGCCAGCTATTATCTCTGGCACCAATAGCCCAAAGTTACTAGCCCAATCTATTGATGGAAACAGGGTGTTTTTTAAGCAACACTTTGGTCTATTTAACTGCACCCAGGCTGTTCTGGTTGCCAGTGCTTGTCCCTCGCTCGTTTCCAGCAGGGAGCAAGGGGACTGGACTAGGAACTGTGCTACAGAGAAAGGAGAGGGGAGTGTAATTGTTTGAATTAAGCGTCAAAGCCCAAGCAGATGGTGGAGAGACAGGTGGGCAAAGGACAGAGCCGAATAAATAAGGTGACAGAACAAATAAAAGTGTATTTTTACACCTCAAAATAAAGAAATACATTCGTCTTAAAAGCATCTGGTTCAAAACCCTGGGTTTTCTACAACACAATCCCTTGCTTTCCAGTGTCATAAATCATCAGAAGAATAGAAACATCTGGTATGTAGCAATACTGCACAGACGTACAAATCACAGTGCATTCAGATCCCTATGCCAGGTTTTAATGCCCCTGCTAGGATATATCTTTTAAAACAACGAAGACTGTTAACAGTGTGGCCTCTAGTAGAGCTGGTCAAAATACAAAAAGCCATTTTCATGCACAGTGGCAAAGTTGTTTTCATTTCAATGTGTTTGAAACAAACCCATTTTTCTTCATTTTTGTTCGAATGTTTAATCCAAAACAGTTATTTATTTTGTTTGCCAAAATCCACTTTTTCAGCAAACCAGTATTTTTGCTCTGCGTTTTGGAAATTATCAAAAAGTATTAAAATATTTATTTTTGGCAAACAAACTAAAAGGTCGACAACTGTGCATGAAAAATCTCACTGTTGGAAAAAAAAGCTTTTTATTGAAAAAACCATTGAAACATTTCGACCAGCTCTCATCTCCAGTGTTTCAAGAACAAGAATCCACCATTCAAACAGCTTTGCACAGTCAGGAGTGTTTACAGAGATATGCCCACTGTTGCACCCCCATTCCAGCTATTGTAACACCCTCCCTCTAGGGTTCAGCTGGGTAAGCAGATGGCACGGGCAGTGCTGGTTGGAAAAAGTGGGTCCCCCCACCATGGCAAACTGATAAAAATGTGTGGGGGGGAATAATTTTCACTGAAATTTTCTACAGAAAGTTACACTTTTAGGCAAAAAGTTGAAAACCAAAATATTTCAGTTCAATGTAATGCTGCCATGAGGCCACATGGTACCCTGGTAGGATTACATTGAACTGAAATATTTCATGACATGAAACAACATATAACATGGTGCATTTTTCTCAGGAGGCTTGGTGGTTTCTTGATCTGACTGCATCTCCTACAGTGCACCACAGTCTCTCCTCAAGGTGAGGGGAGCCAGCTGTATCGTGGGTGTCTCTGACTATGGTGCATCATGGGAGATGTAGTCCAGCCAACCAGAATGAGGAGAGTCCCCCCCCAGAGCAGAATGGGGACATGAGACACCTGGACCACAGCTCCCTTGCAGCATCCCAGCAGGCTCTACAGATTGAAATGTTTTTGGTTTAGTGCAAATATTTTGTTTTTCAGACATTGGGGGTGGTGGTAAAAAAAACAACAAAAAGAACTTTCCGCAGAAAACAGCCAATTTGTGAAAAATCTGAAGTCAGTCACATTCTGCCCCATTAAGTAACTCTGGGAGGCAAAGGGGATTTAAAATGGGTGTAAACAGCCCTTGAAAATTCCCCTGCACAAGGCATCTCCCTGGCTGTTGTGAAGGCTCGGCATGTGCTCTGCTCCTGGGCCTATGGGGAGCAGAATGTTACAGCAGCCTCAAGGCTGCTCTGACTCACACCAGGTCAGCACAAAGCCTGCCGGTCGTTCGTCTGCTCTCGGATCACGCTGTCTGGATTGAAGAGATTTGATGCACCTTACCCTACTGTACCCGTATCGTGTCCGAATCCCAGAGTTGTCGACACAGTGACATCACTGGAAACGGAACATTCATTAATCCCCAAATCTGCTCAAAGCTTGTAAGTGCAAAGGAGAACGTAATAATAAAATATATTTTAAAAAATCCCTGAGAGGTTTAGGTCTGTAAACAGTGCCCCTCCTATAGGGGCACATCCTATGGTCCATATACACATCCAGCACTATACAGATCAGATTCAGAGCGATGTTCTAATCCACGTCCATCTCCTCGTCCTCTTGTTCTCCCATCTCTTCCACTTCCATCTCCCCCACATCGCTGCTCTTGGGGTCATCCTGGGGCTCTGTTGGGAGCAGGGGACTGGCTCTTTGGCCATCCGCTGCTCTGTAGTGACCCCTAACAGCATCTCCCAATGGCAGCTGCAATGTGATGTTCACAGCAAGGCACGAAGCATGGTTGAAATCTACAATCCAAGCAGAGAGCCCCATGGCTGGGTTAAAGGGCCGAGTGCAGGGAAGTTTGTGCTGCCCATGCAGGCAGACGGATGAAGGCAAAAAGATTGAACAAGGAACCAAATTGGACAACCATGTCAGGCTATGAGCTGTCTCAGTGTAGACAAACACCTCATTGCCCCTCAAGCCCAACCTGCAGCTCCCGGCTATCCCAGGCCTTGGCTCCCTCCACCATAGATTTGTCAATACTCCTCAATCCCACCTCACCCCCCTGCGGTTATGGCCCTAGGTTACCCCGGACAACTCTTGATTCTCGTCACTCCTTCTGTGGCAGATACAGGATACACAGTGGGGCGGTAAGCGGGTTCCTTTGACACTCACTTGGAGTGATCTCTATGGAGATGGAGTTCATCTGTGAGGCTCCATCACAGCCATTATGCCAATTTTATAGAAATTGCACCCGTCCTAAAGTCTCATAAATGCTTATCAAATTTCTTGCACTGCACAGGCCACAGGGGAAGTATTTTACTCAATATTTTAAGCCATCAAAAAAGTGGGGGAGGTGTGGGGTTTGGGGTTTTTTTTTTTTTTTTTCTGCCCCACTAGCCAGGTATCTCCATTCCCCAGGCAGCGATTTTCAGAGCTACCTAAGGGATCTGCATGCCCAGTTCATCATGAGCCATGAAATCCTCTTGAAAATGAACTTCCCAGTGCCCCCTGGCTGGGGGTCATCTGCTGGGGCTGATCAGTGACCTCTGGAACTGGAAAGCAGGTGCCTCTAACAGAACTGATTAAGGGAGAGATACCCAGTTGGTCCCAGCAAAGGATTTGCCCCCCGCACTGCAGAGGAAGGCTAAACACCCTCTAGCTCCCTGCCAATCTGATTTGGAGGAAAATTCCTTCCCAACCCCACATATGGCAATAACTGAGACCCTGAGCATGTGACCCAGCATTAGACCCAGCCACCCAAGCTCCTGAGAGAACGAAAGCTTGGTTCCACTCCAGAGAACTGGCCCACCCCATCCAGTGTCCCACCTCCAGCCAGGGCTAACTCTGATGCTTCAGAGGATGGAAACAAACAACAAACACCGCCCCCAACCCAGAATACATGGGGCGGGGGGGAGAGAAGTCCCTTCCTGACCCCTGCAGGTGACCAGCTGAAGCCCTGAAGCATGAGACTTGGGACTATAAGACATATGCCAGAAAAGACCCCAGAGTTGGCCAGTCCAACCCCCACCATCACAAGCAACCCTGTCATGCAAATCACACTCAAATGTGTCCAAAGCTATCTTAAAACTAATAAAGTTGTTTGCTCCACAACTCCTTTTGGAAGCTGATCCAGAACCTCCCTCCTTGGATGGTTAGAAACCTTCTAATCTCCAGCCTAAACTTCTTCTTGGCCACTTGATCCTCATTTGTTCTTGTGCCTACATTGTCTTTTATGTAGAACAGCTCTTCACCCTCCCTGGTGTCTACCCCCCAATGTATTTATGGAGAGACATCAGATCCCCTCTCAGCCTTCCTTTTGCTAGACTAAACCAGCCCAGCTCTCCCTTTCTCCTCTCATAGGACAGACCCTCCATTCCAGATGAGGGCCCCCCAGTGCCATATACAATGTCATTAATGCTTCTCTATCTCTACTGGAAAGGCCTCAGCTGATATATCCTAGAGTCACATTTGCCTTCTTCATGGGTCACATCACATTGGTGGCTCCATCATCCTGTAATCGACCAACTCATGAAGGTCTCGCCATTCCTCTGTCTCCTCCAACTGATGAGCCCCCAGCATACAACAGAAATTCTTATGATTAGACCCTAAGTGCAGGATCTTGCACCCGGTACTATTAAATTTCATCTTTTTTCTGTTACTCCAGTCTACAAGGTCATCCAGATCTTCCTATGTAAGATTCCGACCCTCCTCTGTACTGACCACGTTTCCCAGCTTTTTATTAAGTTTTAAGTAAGTTTAAGTAAGTTTTGTTATCACTCTCCTACTTTTCGTGTTAACACCATTAGTAAAGAGATTAATGAAGATGGATCCCAAAACCGATCCTTGAAGAACTCCATTAGGAACCTCCCTCTGGTCCCATAGTTCATCTTTCAGCCTTCTCCCCTTCAGTCGGTTCCTCACCCACCTTACAATTCTTGTGCTGATCCCCACCTTCCTTAATTTAGCTAATTATTTCCCATGTGGTACCATATCAAATGCTTTACTGAAGTCCAAGTATATTAGATCTGCTGCATTTCCCTTGTCTAAACAATCAGTTCTCGTCTCAAAGACGGAACTCGGGTTAGTCTGGCCCCATCTACCTTTGGTTACATCCCCCTTGCCATTTACCTCCATGAATTTCATCATCCTTCCCTCACAGCGTGTTCTACAGCCCCTTGCCTACTACTCAGCTAGGCTTCGATGAATGGGTCTGGAGTTGCTTGGATCACTTTTTCCCTCTTACTTTACTAGCATCGGACACTAGATGGGGAGGAAGAGCCTCACCAGCTCTATAAAACCAGCTGGGGGAAGGCTGGGAGCAACAGGTATCAGAATAAGCCAGACCCGGGCTTCTCAAACTTTTGGTTTTGCTGGCCCCACTTTGAAAGTATTTCAGGCTATGACAACCCCCGACCCCCAAACAGTCATAGCAAGTTACTGTACGGACTCATAGAAACATACGCACGGTATTGCCACCCTCACTTCTGGGCTGCTACGGGCGGGGCACTGCCCTCAGAGCTGGGCAGCTGGAGAGGGGCAGCTGTTGTAGCCCTCTTCCCCTCCTGCCCCCCTCCCCTGAGAATATCTTTGTGATCTCTTGACCCCCCCCTGCCCCCACCATAGCCTTGCAACCCCCTTTTGGGTCAGGACTCCCAGTTGGACAAATGCCGAGCTAGACAATCTCAAACCATGAACTAGTTCCCAGGCAACCCCTGCGAGATGCTCACTCTACCTTCGGTTCCTGACCCCTCCAGGGGCCGAGTGCATCTCCCCCATCCTCAGGCAGAGCTCAGAGCAGAGTCAGCAGCAGCAGCCCCTCCCCGGCGGCGGCGAGAGCTCCAAGCGAAGGCAGGGGCCTGGCAGAGAGAGGAGAGGGGCACAGGCAGGTCAGCGGAGGGGTGGAAGGTAAATCCCACCCCAGGAGATTTAACAGAGAGAGGAAAGCGGGGCTGTGAAAGCGCAGAACAGAGACACCCCCCAGCAAATCCCCCCACCCCAGACACTGAGATCCCGACCTGGGAGAGGGGTTCGCTCCCCAACACTTACTCACGACAGCTGCAGCAAGGGGTCCCTGTGGGGCGGGAGGAGCTTCCACCCCGCTCCGGCTGGCTGGATCTGGAGAGAGAGAGAGAACAGGAAGAGGAGAGTGCGGTGAGGAGTTGGTGCCCAGGGGTCCCCCTGCCCTGCTCCTAGCTCTGGACCCCCATTGCAGGGGTATCTGTGGGTGTGTTCAGGGAAGGGCCGGGGGCTCTGCTCCACCAGGGCTGAGAGCGTCAGAGCAAAGCGACTGTAAAACTGCTGAGTATTTTCAATGTTGCCTCATCCTGAATGTCACTGATCCCCCAGTTTATAATGTGTCTCCCCGGCCACTTCTCTTGCTAATTTGAACTTCAGGGAACACATCAAATCTCTCTCCTGTCCCCCACAGCTGATGGGTATGGGCCACTGCCAGGGCCCTCTACACTGGGGTTAACATCTGGATCCTGGCCAAGCTGGTTCTAGTCCATGTGGCCAACCCCCAGTGACCAAAAATCACAAGTCAGAGCCCCCAAAACCATCAGATTGGTTTAAACAAGAGGAGATTTTGAAAACAATTTTTGGTTCTGTTCTTGATCTCCTGGTGGTGCAGCCTTTAGGGGTTACCTTTTCAAGCTTTTCTCCCCATCCAGGAGGGCTAGAACAAGAAAAACTTCTGACAAAAATGGCCAACCCTGCCAAAATCTTCAGAAAAAATTAGTTCAGAATGATTGAAAACAGAACAATTTTTGGTTTTTGAATTTTCCAAGAAGACCATGAATGTTTTCTATTAAAGTCGACACTTTCCACAAAAACTTGCCTTTAATCAAACACCCAATTTTTCCTAAAAAAAAAAATTAAAAAAAAGTAAATGGAACCATTTCAGTCAACTTGTTACAGCTGCTCTGAAATCCCCCATCCCTCCCACCCCAGTTCCCACAACCTCCCCCCCAACTCCAGCCCCTGCACCCATTGCACACACAGCTGCGCCCCCTGCCTGGCCATAAGGCCCCTTCCCTGTCCCCCAAAGAGCAGCTGCAGAAGATCCCAATGGGGGGATCCACACAGGGACCAGCCAGCTGCACCTGCTGCCGCTCAGCCCTGCAGGGTCCGTGTTTAGCCTCTCCCCGTCCCCGTCCCGGGCAGAGAAGTGCGGTACCTGGGGCTGTGCCAGGCCCATCCTGCCATGAAGATGCCCTGTGGGCTGCGGTGCCCCGGCAGAGGGAGAAGCTGCTGGATCCATCTGGGCTCCGGGCGAGCGCTGGGTTGGGACCAGGCCCCTCTGGGGTGGCTCAGCAGCTGGTTTGCAGGGCTGGTCACCTCCTGGCCCCATGCAGATTGTCTGAACGTGGCAAGCTTCTCTCTAAGGGGAGCTCAGACAGTTCCTCCCAGACCTGTCAGTCACGACATTGCCTCCATTGTTTAGAACCGGTTGTGGGGTCCCCGTATCAGGATTCCCCCCTTATATCCCCTCACCACGCCCTGGAGGGACCAGATGGAGGGATCTCACTTCAGTCCTTGGCCCTGGCCTGCTGGGATCCCTCAGGCACGTGGTGACATTCACTCGTGTTCATCCACTCCCCACTTACAGGATTGTGACCAGTGGTGTCTCTCCCAAGCACCCCTGTCCCAATGCCACCCCAATGGGCTCCGGAGCTGTTGCCCCTCCATTCCCCACCCAGTTCTCTGGCTTCATGTCCTCGCCCATGCTCCTGGTGTCACGCCCCACAATCTGATTGGCTGAGAATTCATTCCCAGTGCTTCCAGCCCAGGGTCCTTGTCCCTCCCTTCCCCCTAGCCAGCCTGGGACAGGGGCAGCAGCTACCCCTGCAGCCCCACCAGCCGGAGCAAAACGGAGAACACGAGAGGCAAAAGCGCGTGCGTCTCCTTTTAGGGTTGTGCCTCCAGCCCAAGAACCAAATGGATTATCCAGTGGTTCTCCAACTTTTGTCCTGGTGACCCCTTCCACACTGCAAGCCTCTGAGTGCGACCCCCCCCCCCCGTTATACATTAAAAACCACTTTAATATATTTAACACCGTTATAATGGCTGGGGATGAAGCAGGGTTTGGGGGTGGAGGCTGACAGCTCATGACCCCCACATAATAACCTCACGACCCCCAGTTTGAGGACCCCTGGACTACACTGAGCATGCACAGAAAGAGAGCCAGAGGGTTGAAAGGCTGCTGGGATGGACAAGACTTGTGGGGCTCCGAGAGACTGTCCCCCCCGCCACCCCGCAGCAGTGTGAATTCAGCTCCAACCAGGGGCAGGAATCTGAAATCAGTGAAACAGCAGAGACTTCATGCAGGCAGAGGTCCGGCTTGCCAGGCAGGGACAGCTCCTTCCCTTCCAGGACGTGGGCATCAGCAAAACTCAAGCATCAGAAACCTGGGAATTACAGAGTTACGGTCCATGCCCAGGCAACCTCAACTCTGCTCCCTGGAGCAGGCAATAGGCACTGGGATTATCGGCATGTACAGCAGCTGCACTCTCTGTGGGACCTGTAGCTGTACTGAAGGGTGGGGCAGGTCGAGAGAGGTGATAGGCGTTAGTTTGAGGAGTGTCCGAGCTGTGACTGGGCTACGAGGAAACCAGGGGTTGCCCCCACCCCATCAAAGCGCAGGAAGCCTTGTACCTTGAGGATCCAGTCTGCCTCATTTTGTTGCAAACTTGTGTATGTTGTCTCAGTAGCAAGGCACTGGGGGGTCTTGCCACGGGGATTGGCAGCAGTGAGGTGGGATGCCAGAGCAGGCTGTGGGTTGAATGGTGGGTAAGGGAAAGTCTACGGTTAGATGGTATCCAGTGAGTGAGTGGGAAGTGGTTGGTACATTTCACATGTGCAGTATTGTGCAGGGATTGTGCTTAGTGTTTGAGCACTGGGCAAGCGGAGGCAGCTCCTGCCCATGACAGTGAAAAGGCCGAGTGTGAGCGTATGATGGACCTGTTGGGACATCACTCAGAGGGCGGAGTTACGGCTACCTGGGCACGTACCTGTATTTCCTGGCTTTTAGGTGGCTGAGATTTGCTGAACTCGATATTCTGGAACTGCTCCATTCATGGCCGTGGATATTCTCATCCCCACTGCTGGAGAGCCTGGGATATGCACCAAGCGTGCCCGGACTCAGCTCCTCACCCTGGTGTCAGCGGTGTGTTCTTGGTGCATGCTCCCAGTATGCCTGTTCTCCGCTCCACACCCACAGTGGTAGGGCTTCCCCACTTACTGGCTCACAGGGGGTGCAGGAAGAGGTGCTCAGACACCCCCAGAGGGGCAGGGACCCACAGAGCCCAGCTCACATGAGGGGGTCGAGGATCATTGGGAGGGAGGGGGCACACGACCCTCCCTCAAAAGCAATGGCCCCCCAGAACCATGCTCACATGAGGATGGAGTGCACAGTGGGTGGGGTCAGAACTACAGAGTCGGCCAGGGCCCTCCCCCCTCCCCCAGATCCTGCCACTCGCACAAGGGACAGGCACACATGGGAAGTTTTAGGGAAACAGGCTCAGACTCCTCAAGGACAGGCCAAGGCCTTCCAGCTCCCAGATCCCATGGGGGTGTCAGCCATATATGGGCTGGGAGGTGCCAGATCATGGCCCACACACCCCCGCTCCTATTCTCCCCCAGTCCCCATCCCTCTCCCCCACTCCTCCCTTCTCAGTGCCCCACCCCACCTAGCCCCCAACCTCAACCCCTCTCTGCCCCTATTCCCAGCCACTCTTCCGTCCTTCTCACCCTCCGCTCCCAGCAAGCATTTGCATGTGGAATTCATTGTCATTTCAAAGACAGGGTTAGCACCTTCTGAGTATTCTGCTGTATTTGGATTAAGTTTCCCCAAAATAAATTATAATAATAATAAAAACCCTTGGAGAGAGGCAGATTAGAGCAAGATGCCTCCTTTTTTTAAGATACAGATTTCCTACCAAGGCTTGGATTTGAACTCCTAAGAGCATAAGACCTCCCACACTGGGTCAGCCCAAAGGTCCATCCAGCCCAGTGTCCTGTCTTCCGACAGTGGCCAGGGCCAGGTGCCCCAGAGGGAATGAATAGAACAGGGAATCATCAAGTGATCCATCCCCTCTTGCCCATTCCCAGCGTCTGGCAGAGGCTAGGGACACCATCCCTGCCCATCTTGGCTCATAGCCATGGATGGACCTGTTCTGCATGAATTCATGGTGCCCGCTGCGGTTCAATGGCTGGACCATTCCCCCTGGGGTCATAACTAGCTTTCAAGCTCCTTCCCCTCTCTCCCTGCACGGGCACAGCGTGATCTGCTTGGCGTGTGAGTCTCACACCGGCTCAGCAGCCGGCCAACCTAGAATCAAAGTGGTTCATAACGTGGTCATTTGATCTCCCCGAAAGGGCTGGGGGATGCCCTGCACTCTGCTGGGAGAACTCTCAGCCGCCTAAAAACAGAACAGGAGGACTTGTGGCACCTTAGAGACGAACACATTTATCTGAGCATAAGCTTTCAGGAGCTACAGCTCACTGCATCGGATGCATTTAAAACCCTGGTGCAGTGATCTCAGCCCTGGCTGTAAGGAAAGCAGGTCAACTTTAGCTGGTTGGGGGCTTTGTTTGGGGGAGGAGGGGATCTCAGAAATCCCTTGTCCAAATGGCCCTGTGGGCCCCCCCCCCCCCCCGAGGCACACAAACTGTCAAGGCTCCAAGTCAGCGGGTGGATTTCAGAGCAGGCAGGAGATCGGTGCTTCAGGCAGAGAGCTGGCACTTTGCTAGAATAAAATCTCTTTAGCTGCCCTCCACTAAGATCCCGTCCTTCAGCGCCTCGTCCCCAGGGCTCGCTTGGGACCCCAAGTGAGGGTGAGCCCCAGACCCCCCACATGGCGGGCTGAGACACACGACGCTGCCGGGATGGCAGTTCAGAGGGGGTGTTAGGACACTTTGGCCCATCAGTTAAAAGACAAAGAAACAAAGTCTGTCCTGGGGACCAACAGAGACGTCTTCCCTCACGACAAGGAAAAACCACTTCCCCTTCCACCCCAAAACAATCCGCGCTCGTGATTTGCTGCCCAGCAGCGGAGTTCTTGTCTCGGGAGGCAACTTCAGCTCCTGCAGGTTACCCGCCTATTTTGCCCCCCTTAACCCTCCTTCCATCTGGTCAGTGCACAGCCCCCTCCCCCATAGACCCCGCCCGACCCCCTCCCCAATACCCCCACCCGATCAGAGCACAGCCCCCTCCCCAATAGACCCCGCCCGCCCCCTCCGCCATCTGGTCAGCGCACAGCCCCCTCCCCAATAGACCCCGGGTTCCCCAGTGTGATCGATGCACCCACCCAGCTCTTCTCTTCCCCCCAACCCGGCACCTCCCTGCTTGCCCCCTCCCCGTTCCATGCACAACACCAGCCCCTCCTCACCTGCTGGCAGAGACCCCCAGCCCCTGATCGCTCCGCGGGCAGTCGGAGCCCGGCTCGCAGCTCGCCCAGGCTCGTGTCCCCTGGAGCCAGAGCCCCCCGGGGAGCGGGCTCAGAGCGACCCCGGCGGGCAGGCAGAGGGAGCAGCGAAGGGACGGGCTGCCCCGCCGGGAGCCGCCAGGCTCGGGGAGAGGGTCCCACGGCTGCAGCCCCGCTCAGCTGGGCAGGTCAGCAACACCGAAGGGAAACGCACCCAGCTGTCTGTCCCCGGGGAGCGGGCGAAGAGCAGAGGCTCCAGCCGGTCAGGATCCCGCAGCACTCCCCGCTCTTGTGTCGCTGCCTCCCGGGCTTATGGCTATCCCTACCCCCCCAAAGCAGGTCCGCGTCCCTGGGTGGGCTCGAACCACCAACCTTTCGGTTAACAGCCGAATGTGCCACAGAGACTGGGCAGCCAGGCCCCAGGCAGGGAGCAAGCGGCCATAGCCAGCTGCTGGGGAGAGCCTGGCTGGGGAGGGGTGGCAGCCCAGTCCCCCCCACACTCGGCTTTCCGGGGCAGTGGAAGTACTTAAAAGTGTGTGTGTTGGGGGGGGAACCACTGGTGCCCGAACCTTGGGCCCCGCCCCCTGCACCACCCTTTCCCCTGAGGCCCCGCCCCCTCGCTCCTCCCCCCCACCTTACAATGTGGAAGTGGGAAGACAGGCGCTGGGAGGGGTGTGTGTCTGTCTGTCTGTCTCCTTCTCTCCCCAGCTTGCGGAGAGGCTCTGACCCGCCCCATCCCTTCCTCTCCCTCCCCCCAAGTTGCCTTTTGCCCCCTCCCCCAATACTAAAACAGACAAGTTCTTATAATAAAAAAAAGGGACTAGGGGCCCCCCCTTGAGCTGCTGGGGGCCCCAAGTAATTGCTTAGGCTGAGTCTCTCTGTTTATACCCAGGGCTCTGAGTGTAGGTAGCCCAGCCTGGCACATGTGCCTCAGTCTCCCCGTACCCTGCACCACCACCTCCAGCTGTCAAAACTGAACTCACCTGGGCCCGGGCCCCCTGCCGCCCTGCCCCGGAACGGTACACCCTTCTCTGCCCCGGCCCTGCTGGCTCCCCCTGGGGACGACACTACTCTTCCTGGTTCCACGCTGGCTGGGCCATGGAGCTGCCCCCACAAGAGTACCCCCACCCCAAGATCAGGAAAGACTGTGACCAGTGAGGATCTCTGGGTGCTGACCCCGCTGAGCTGAGCCCTGGCCGGTGCAGCTTGCCCGGCACTGTGCGGATCCCCCGATGGGTCTCCGGGGGCACAAAGGAGCCAGGCAGGGGGCACAGCAGTGTGTGCAACGGGGGTGGGCTGAGGCTGCAGCTGGACTTGGGGAGAAATGTGGGGAGGGGGGTTCCCTGGTACATTTAACAAGAGGTTAACATGTGTCCAACTTTTTTTGAGGGAAAATTTTGCTCTGGGCGAAGGATTTGGGCTGTAGTTACGTAACCCCTCTTCCAGGTGGTGTCGGCAGCAACAAGGGCGCGGTTTAGTTTCCAGGGGTTCCCCTTAACAACTCAAAACAGAACTGGCTCAAGCCCCCAGCCAGTAATCTGAGAAAACTAAACACCCCCGGGGGCACATCTACGAGGCAACACTTTCCCCCTCACCAGCACGGAGTCTGTGTAGTAGAACAAAAATACCCTGACTTCTATTAAAAGTTCTCACCTCTGCCTGAAGGGGAGAGTTAACCACAAAGGAAAGGAGCACAGGAGACGTGCACGGCAAAGCAGAGCACGGAGAGGAGCAAAGGAATCCTTTGCAAAGGGATTTCCTGTCTTGCACCCACCCAACCATCACAAAAGTTCTCTTGCTCGACCCTGTTCCATTGGGGTTGGGCTTCCCTCCCCCTCCAGGTTAGGTGACCCAGAGCTGGGAGGCAGAAGCAGAGTTTAATCCACATTACACCAGGAGGCCGCGGGACTCAGATACACCTCCAACACACAGTTCCTCGTCTGCTTCCTTCTGACTTCTAGGGAGTTGCACTTTCTCTAAACCAGCTGAACCGGGGTTCTCACAAATTTTTGGCAGCCTCAGCATGCGGCTCTGACAATACTTAACTAACTGTAGGAAAAACAAACAAATAAATTACATGTGCATATTTACATAGGGATTTTTTGCAGACTCAATAATAAATATAAGGTACAGTTGTGTCCTATCTTTACTGGACCTAAACACAGAACAAACCAGTGCTTTGCGCAGTCTTGTCTTTTTTGTTGTTCTTTTGCTTTTTTGGTCAAAGGTGATAATAGTAACAACAAAATCTGAGCCGTTGCTGTTGTCTTTTCAGCTTGGTTTTTGCATCATTTAACAGCTTGCGCCTCTGAAACTCACCGTGGTAATTTGGTTCAACTTCCCTTGCATGAGTGCTGTAGGGACGTTGCACGACATACATTTCAATTTGATGAATTTCTCTCGCACACTGCAACTTGCTCAGAAACGGAATCGGGTGGCTTCAGAAACACAGGAAACTGCCTTTCCCCCTGGTGCTGAAGTGTTCCTTTTTCTTTCTATGTTTTGTTTTTCTTCGCAGAAGGTCCCAGAGGACCGACCTGCTGTCACATTCAAGGTCATGTTCTGGCACTAGATTATTTGAAATATTTTCTGATACCAAGTCACATTTTTAACTCTTTCACCTCCCCCGCCCCCATGAACAATCGCAACCTACCCAAACACCACGCAGTGAGATGGCCCATAGCCACTTACAGAGCTACAGTAACATGAGATGTAAACACAGTGCTTAGAGGTCTATAAAATCATGAGTGGTGCGGAGAAAGTGACTAAGGAAAAGCTATTTACTTGTTCCCATAACACAAGAACTAGGGGCCATGAAACGAAATTAATGGGCACCAGATTTAAAACAAATAAAAGGAAGTTCTTCTTTACACAGGGCACAGTCAACCTGTGGAACTCCTTGCCTGAGGAGGTTGTGAAGGCTAGGACTATAACAGGGTTTAAAAGAGAACTGGATAAATTCATGGAGGTTAAGTCCATGAATGGCTATTAGCCAGGATGGGTAAGGAATGGTGCCCCTAGCCTCTGTTTGTCAGAGGGTGGAGATGGATGGCAGGAGAGAGATCACTTGATCATTGCCTGTTAGGTTCACTCCCTCTGGGGCACCTGGCATTGGCCGTTGTCGGCAGACAGGATACTGGGATGGATGGACCTTTCCTCTGACCCAGTCTGGCCCTTCTTATGTTCTTAGCCAAAGAATACACTTTGCAACTTCAAAGAAAACCACACCTATGTAGCTCAGCTCTGCCGGCATAGTACTATTTAAAAGGGAGCGCGCATTAGGATTTATGGCATTTAGAAGGCACCTTTAATACTTAACATCTCAGCGATTGTTGGGGCACTTTGGAGGCCCTTGTGGCTGCAAAACAATCAGCTGGTGGCTGCATTTGAGAAATGCTGTTCTGGAGTCTAAACAAACAAGGCCTTCCCTTCTCTCATTTCCCCAGCGTGTGGCTGAGACTCCTTCTCATGAGATCACTCCCTCTCAGCTGCAGAGAAAAGCTTGACAATGTGACCCTGAGTTTAAAGGTTCAAAAGCAGAAGGCACATATGAAGAATCCATAGTTTAAACGAGACACACTTATTGCTTGAGGGCCCTGCTGCCTGATTTTGAGATCCTGGCCAGGCTGACGAATGGGGACTTGGCTCGTTCAAGTAGGTGTGAGTTGGATCAGTGTCACTTCTAGGAGTCTCATTTCGAGCCCCCTTCCAGTGCAGTCTCTTTTCCCATCACATACACCTCAGGTTTGCGACAGATCCACCGTCTTTCCATGTAGCACCGTGAGCTGCTGACCCCTTTCTCCTCGTTCAGATACGCGCAGTCACCTCCTCCTCTTATCTGAAACCTGCAACACAGAAGCCAGGGAGCTGCAGTCAGGCAGAGGCCGGGCATTTCACACCAGTCCCAGCCAGGGGAGCCGTTCTCCACAGTGCAGGCCTGAGTGCGGAGCAGCTACTCTCCCAGCCCCTCAGGAGCAGAGCTCAGGACAGCGGGGGCTTTGCAGAACCGCTGACTGTTCGTGACCCTCTATGCTGAGCAGCCCACAGGGGTGCTGGAGAATGGAAAGTCCCCAGCAGGATGGAGAGAATTTGTTAGACTGATTGTCAAAAGGGACCGGTCCTCTAACAAGAGGGGCAGACCACCACCAGAATCAGACGACCGAGCAGGAAAAGCGGGGGGCAGGAGGAATCTCGCCTCCTTGAAAAACAGGGAGCAGAACCAAGATGAACCTGAAAGAGGAAATTGCATTCAGGGGTTTCCTTTTCCATTGATCTATAACTCTTGAGCTTTCCATTGGGGATGGGGGAAAAAGAGAGTGTTGAAGAAGTTCCTTTGTGAAAGCATGTGTGCCTTGTTTGTAACCCTCCCGTGACCCTCCCAGAGTTCATCTGGAGTGGAGGGTGGAGCTCTAGGGACAACATGCCTCTCGGGAGGTTTGGGAGGGTTCAGACCTGGTTTTGGGTCCTACAGCAGCTGATCTGCAGGGTCCCACCTCCTAAGGAGGGAACCAGACAGGGAGTCTGTACCCCAGGAGAGGGCCACAGAGGCCCGAACTCGGGACAGTGTCTGGAGGCTATTCAGACCCAGTGAGGCTGGAAGCAGGTGGGATCCAAAGGTTGGGTCCAATACAGCAGAATGGGGACTGTCCATTGGGGAGCCCTGACCCAGCGCCATAACAGCCTGAGTTTTCAAAGTACTGAAGTAAACCAGACCAGGGAAGTGGGGGGTCTCCATCCCCCTCTAATGGCTGGCCTGCATAAGAGCTTTATCAATCGGGGGGGGGTTCAGTTAAAGAAGTGGATTCTTTCGCTCCTATGGCAGAGGCTCATGCTTCTAGTGCTGAATTCCGGGGTTCAAACCCTGCTCCGGGCTCAAGGTTTTGTGATCACACTTGGAGCCCACTGAAACCCATCGCGGGGTGTTGGCTGGGCAGCCATCACTACTGTACCCCGTTCCAGTGGGAGCCCCAGGCGTCCAGCACCTGTGAACCGCAGGCTCCTTTAACATCGGTGCCTTGCTGCGGATTCAGAGGCCTCACCAGCCAAGTCACTCAAACCTGCCGGCTGAAATCCCCAGCGGGACCTGCACCTGCCATGCACTGCTCGGCATGCTGCCCTCTCTAGCAGCCACTGTTAACCTGAGCTCCCTGCTGCCTCCTTTCCCCGGGGGGGTCAGACACCCCAGGGACCTTGCTGAAGAGGGCTGGGGGAGAACAGCGAGTGTCCCAGCTGAAATCCCAGCGCGCTGCGAGGGCACCTCTGGCTATGGCGGGCTCTGTCTCCGGCCCAGCTCCGTGCTGCGGGGAGGAGCCGAGAGTTCAGGGACACGCCGGCTCCCATCGGTCTCCGATACACGCAGGACGCGAACGGACCAGGGTCGTGTCTGGTTGTTTCACCAGCACTGAGTGGTGGATCTACCTGAGCTCAAACAGCTCAGACACCAGAATCCCAAGCCCAGGGGATTAGTCCAGAGGGGCGAGAGAGACTCACAGGTGGTTGAATTCGGTGCCGTTGGCCCATGTCCAGGGCTGACCCGGCTCCCTCCAGAGGCCGATCCAGTCATAGACACCCTTATGGCGCAGCAGGAACGCCTTAAAGAAAGCTGAGGGACAGGAGGTATCAGACCCAGCTCCCGTGCTTCCCCACCCCCACCCCCCAGGGCTCTGTGCTGCAGAGAATCCCAGTCGCATATTGAAGGGCGCTCAGTTTATTTTCGGGGGGGGGGGATTTTCCCCTCCCTCTTGCAAAGCACAAGACCACCCGGGCAGTCTTAACCCTCCCACCGCACACAGCAGCCCCGCCCCAGTGCTCCCAGTCACCCACACCCCAAGTCCCCCTGGGCTGGGGGCAGCTGCTGGGTCTGAACTCTCTGCAGAGACGTCTCTTCTCACAGAGCAGCCCCCACTCACCACAACAGGGTAGGAGGAGGGAGTGAGTCAAGTTAAGTGGGAGGGGTCAATGTGACAGGTTCCCACCCCCACCCCACCCCCCACATCCTCACCTGGCTGCTCCTTTCCCTTCCCCCAAACAGGAGCACTGGCTGGGTTCTCAGTCCCACTCCCGCAGCCAGTAGATGCCTGAGCCAGCCCTGCCCTAGAGAGGGGCTGTCTCCCTATTTGGGAGGGGGAAGCTGAGAATGGCCAATCCTCGTGATCACACACAGACAGTAGGGCCCTGGGCCCAGCCAGGGCTGGCGTTCAGCCGCTGGAAGTTCATTCACTCTGGCCTCCCAGCACGGGAGGGGCAGAGCCCAGGTCCCTACTGTAGCAGCCGCCGCTGAGCCAAGGCCAGTGTCTGGCAATTCGAGAGTCTCTCACCATTTCCTGCTCACTGTCGATCCCAGCCAGGGAGGCACCCGGTGCAGAGCAGGGCTCTGGCTGTCGGTCCAGCTCCCTTCCCTCTCTGAGAAATAGTAGCATTTCCCTCGGTATCCCATCCAGCCGTCTGGGCAAGCAGGGCCAGCAGGGGGACACAGATCAGCTGATGAAAGCTTAGACGCCAGCACTGAGAATGAGAAAGTCACATGGAGGGTAAGAGTTGCACCTAGAATTGGGCATTTGACTGGAACCTCAAATGTGTCATAAAAAAAAACCAATGGTCAAATATTTTAAAATACCAATTTATCAGAACAGTAACAAAAAAAGAGCAAGACGTCATTTTTCAGAGGAACAGCCATGTTAGTCTGTATTCGCAAAAAAGAAAAGGAGTACTTGTGGCACCTTAGAGACTAACCAATTTATTTGAGCATGAGCTTTCGTGAGCCACAGCTCACTTCATCAGATGTGTACCGTGGAAACTGCAGCAGACTTTATATACACACAGAGAATATGAAACAATACCTCCTCCCACCCCACTGTCCTGCTGGTAATAGCTTATCTAAAGTGATCAGCAGGTGGGCCATTTCCAGCACAAATCCAGGTTTACGTCATTGTCTCCAGTAGGTTTAGCTTAAGGTAGATACTTATGCCTAATTTTAAAAAAAATATTTGTGACGATGTGACTCAGCAGGGAGGGGGAGTGTTGACCTGGGAATGTGCCCTGGGGATGGGAGACCTGAGAGCCTGTCACCTGAGCCAGGAGGGGGAGGGGAGGTGACACCTCTGCCCAGGAATGTGAACAGAGGCTGCAGCAGGGAACCTGCGGGGTGAGTTTAGTTGGCAGTTTGGAGGCTGGGGGGAGGAACACAGGGAACCCCAGGGCTGGGGTCTAAGCTCCCTGCTCCCCCAGAAGGACGTGATTGAGGGGTCCTGGTTGTACCCACAAGCTCTGTTGTGGACTGTGTTCCTGTTGTCCAATAAACCTTCTGTTTTACTGGCTGGCTGAGAGTCTCAGTGGATCCCAGGAAGAGGGGTGCAGGGCCTGGACTCCCCCACACTCCGTGACAACTGGTGGCAGCGGTGGGATCTACTGCACCCCGTGAACGGCGCTTCCTGCAGTAAGTGACTGGGGAACAGTAAAACGAAGGGGAATTGACGGGGACCAGGCGTGCTGAAGATTCAGAGACGGTTTCGGGGGCGGTTAACCCCTGGGAATGTGTGACCAGAGAGAAAGACTTTTGCAGTAACAGGGTCCCCCGGGGATTGCAGCGAGCAGTCCCAGGGGCGGAGGAGTCTGCAGCTCGACCCTGGCAAAGAGGTGGTGACCTCAAGAAGGACTGGCACACTAAGGGCTTTTCCTGGAAACCGTGGGAAGCTGCCCGGCCTGCGAGTGGCCAGCAGGGAGATGTACGCTAAACGCCTTAAGAGTGACCTGGTGGAGCTGTGCAGGCAGAGGGGGCTGCGCATCGGGAGGTCCACCAAGGAACAACTGATTGCCCAGTTGGAGGAGAGGGATCGCTTGGATGACCCGATCCCTATCCCTGAGGGGAGCCGCCCGGCAGACGCAGCGTGGGCCCTGGGGCCTGACCGGGCTGGGAGGGGTCAGACTGCTGCCGAGGACATCCCGAGACCCTTCCTACCTATGTCTGGGGGAGGGGTTGGGGGAAGCCCAGCGAATACCGAGGGCACCCTGACCCCAGCACCCAGCAGGGGATCCTCCCGGCGGAGCTCCCCATCCCTGGAGCGGAGGCGGCTGGAATGGGAGAGGGAGATGAAAATGAGGGAGCTGGAGGATCATGAAAAACAACGTCAACATGAGCAGGAGGAGAAGGAGAAACAACGTCAACATGAGCGCCAGGAGAAGGAGAAACAAAGACAGCACGAACTGGAGCTGGCCAGGCTGAAGAGCAGTGGGGCCCCGGCTGTGGTGAGTGAGGGGGGACCCAAGACTGCAAGGAACTTTGATAAGTGCTTCCTGGCCCAGCGTAAGGAGGGGGAGGACATAGATAGCTTCCTGACGGCCTTTGAGAATGCCTGTGAGCTGCACAGGGTTGACCCTGCAGACAGGCTCCAGTTTCTCACCCCCTTACTGGACCCCAAAGCCGTGGAGGTGTACAGCCGGATGACAGGGCCGGAGGCAGGGGACTATGAACTGTTCAAACAGGCCCTGCTCCGTGAGTTTGGGCTGACCCCCGAGATGTACCGGAGAAGGTTCCGGAGTCAGCGTAAAACGCCTGAGGTCACCTACCTACAACTGGCCAACCGGATGCAGGGGTATGCCCGCAAGTGGACAGCGGGGGCCCGAGCTAAAGAGGACCTGCTTGACCTAATTGTACTGGAGCAGCTGTATGAACAGTGCCCTTCCGACCTGAGGCTGTGGTTGGTGGACAAAAAGCTCGAGAACCCCCAGCACGCAGGGCAGCTGGCCGACGAGTTTGTGAACAGTCGGTCAGGGGGTAGCCGGGAGGAGTCCCAAAAGAACAGGCCCCCCCCGATGCAGAGAGAGAGTCACCAGGGGGCCTCCCAGCGGGGAAATAGGGAGAACCCCCTCCCAAGGGGAACGCCTGGCGTCGGGCCCCTCCGACCCGCCTCGAGGGGACCAACGTGACCTGAGCTGCTATCACTGTGGCCAGAGAGGCCACGTACGGTCCCAGTGCCCTGGGCTCAGGGACAAACTGAGCAGACCCAACCTACCCAGGGTTAACTGGGTAGGGACCCAGCTGGACGAGGGGCAGACGACTCAGGCAAGGGGGGCTGCCAGTTTACCACCTGCCCCGGAGGGAAGAGTACCCCAGGCCAGCTCCACCAGAGGGCTGGAGGCTCTGGACTCAGGGCGCTCAGTTTACAGGGTGGGCGCGGGGCTGTCCCTCCGGAGAGAGTGCCTTGTTCCCCTGGAGGTGGATGGGAGGAAGGTCAATGGATACTGGGATACGGGTGCGGAGGTGACGCTGGCCCGGCCCGAGGTGGTGGCCCCAGATCGGGTGGTGCCCAACACCTACCTGACCCTGACAGGGGTGGGTGGGACCCCATTTAAGGTGCCCGTGGCAAGGGTACACCTGAAATGGGGGGGCCAAGGAGGGCCACAAGGATGTGGGGGTACACCACCATTTGCCCACTGAAGTTTTGATGGGGGGAGACCTAGAGGACTGGCCAAGCAAGCCCCAGACCGCCCTGGTTGTGACCCGTAGCCAGAGCCGGCGAGGGCCACTGCTCCCTGACCTCGGGAGGGTACCGCACCGGAGGCGCAGGACCCTACCCTGGTGGGAAGGGAGGGCCGAGGGGCACGGCTCAGAGAGGCTGAGGCCTCAGACCTGGCCACTGAGGGGGAACCGGTCCCCATCCCTTCCCCAGCTGCTGAGTTCCAGGCCGAGTTGAGGAAAGATCCCTCCTTGCGGAAGCTCAGGGACCTGGCCGACCTCAGGGTGGTACGGACCATGAGGAGAGGCTGCCAGGAGAGGTTCCTGTGGGAGAAGGGGTTCCTATACCGAGAATGGGCTCCCACAAGGGAAGTAGAGTCCTGTGGGATCAGGAGGCAGCTGGTGGTCCCCCAGAAGTATCGCCGCAAGCTCCTGTACCTGGCCCATGACATCCCCCGCAGGGCACCAGGGAATCCGGCGCACCCGGCAGAGGTTGCTACAGAACTTTTACTGGCCCGGGGTCTTTACCACGGTCCGGCAGTATTGCCGATCCTGTGACCCCTGTCAGAGGGTGGGGAAGGCCCGGGACAAGGGGAAAGCGGCTTTGAGACCTTTGCCCATCATAGAGGAGCCTTTCCAGAAGGTGGCCATGGACATCGTGGGGCCTCTCAGCAGGACGACCCGGTCGGGGAAGAAATACATTCTGGTGGTGGTAGATTTTGCCACCCGCTACCCCGAGGCAGTGCCCTTAGCTTCCATTGAAGCAGACACCGTGGCCGATGCGCTCCTGACCATTTTCAGCCGAGTGGGGTTCCCCAAGGAAGTCTTGACAGACCAAGGCTCCAACTTCATGTCGGCCCTGCTCCGGTGCTTGTGGGAGAAATGTGGGGTCCGGCACGACTGGGCCTCAGCTTATCACCCCCAGTCCAACGGGCTGGTGGAGAGGTTTAACGGGACGCTAAAGATGATGCTGAAAACCTTTATGAACCAGCACCCACAGGATTGGGACAAGTACTTACCTCACCTGCTGTTCGCGTACAGGGAGGTGCCACAGGAGTCTACCGGATTTTCGCCTTTCGAACTGTTATATGGAAGGAGGGTGAGGGGCCCCCTGGACCTGATGAGAGACGAGTGGGAGGGGAAGGCCACTCCCGATGGAGAGTCAGTGGTGGAGTATGTCCTGATCTTCCGAGAGAGACTTGCTGAACTCATGGGCCTGGCCAGGGAGAATCTGGCCAGAGCCCAGAAGAAGCAGAAGGTCTGGTATGACCGCACGGCAAGGGCCCGTGCCTACGCCACCGGGGATCCGGTGATGGTTCTCATCCCAGTGAGAAAGAACAAACTACAGGCCGCCTGGGAGGGCCCTTTCAAGGTCGTCAAGCAGCTCAATGAGGTAAACTATGTGGTGGAGCTGTCGAACCGGGCGCACCACCGCCGGGTGTACCATGTGAATATGATGAAGCCATATTATGCCAGGGGGAATGTGGTGTTGGCCGTGTGTGGACAGTGGGAAGAGCAGGGAGATGACCCTTTAGTGGATCTATTCCCTGGGACTAGAGCTGGTTCCCCCTGGAAACAATTCCCCTCTCGGATCAGCTAACCCCTGCCCAGCAAGATGAGGTCAGGGAGGTGCTGCATCCGTACCGACAGCTGTTTTCCAACCAGCCTGGACGCACTAATCTGACTGTCCACCGGGTGCAGACAGGGTCGCACCCGCCGATAAGATGCTCCCCCTTCCGAGTCACAGGGAAAACTGCTCAGGACCTGGAAAGAGAGGTCCGGGACATGCTGGCTTTGGGGGTGATCCAGCCATCTGCCAGCCCTTGGGCCTCGCCGGTGGTGCTGGTCCCCAAAAAGGATGGGTCGGTCCGGTTCTGTGTGGACTATCGGAAGCTCAATGCCATCACTGTATCTGATGCCTACCCCATGCCCAGGCCGGACGAGCTCCTAGACAAGCTGGGAGGAGCTCGGTACCTTACCACCATGGACCTTACAAAGGGCTACTGGCAAGTGCCGCTGGATGCAGATGCCCGGCTGAAATCGGCCTTTATCACCCCTCTGGGGCTCTATGAGTTCCTGACCCTGCCTTTCGGCCTCAAGGGAGCGCCGGCCACCTTCCAGCGCCTAGTGGACCAGCTCCTGAGGGGGATGGAGAGTTTTGCCGTGGCGTATATTGATGACATCTGTGTCTTTAGCCAGACCTGGGAGGACCACGTGTCCCAGGTTAGACAAGTGCTGGACCGACTCCAGGGGGCTGGGCTGACTGTAAAAGCGGAGAAGTGCAAGGTGGGGATGGCGGAAGTGTCTTACCTGGGCCATCGGGTGGGGAGCGGCCGCCTAAAGCCGGAACCAGCCAAGGTGGAGGTGATCAGAGACTGGCCCGCTCCCCACACCAAAAAGCAGGTCCAAGCCTTTATTGGGATGGCAGGATACTACCGAAGATTTGTGCCTCACTTTAGCGCCATAGCCACCCCCATCACTGAGCTATGCAAGAAGGGGAAGCCAGACAAGGTGGTCTGGACCGAGCAGTGCCAGGAGGCTTTCCGGGCGCTGAAGGAGGCTCTGGTCAGTGGCCCAGTTCTGGCAAACCCAGACTTTGACAAGCCCTTTGTGGTGTTCACCGACGCCTCCGACACGGGACTGGGGGCGGTGTTAATGCAGGAGGATGAAAAGGGGGAGAGACACCCCATCGTGTACCTGAGCAAGAAGTTGCTGCCCCGGGAGCAACACTACGCGGCCATCGAGAAGGAGTGCCTGGCCATGGTGTGGGCCCTCAAGAAACTAGAGCCCTATCTCTTCGGGCGGCACTTCACCGTGTACACCGACCACTCGCCCCTGACCTGGCTGCACCAGATGAAAGGAGCCAACGCCAAGCTCCTGAGATGGAGCCTGCTCCTGCAGGATTACGACATGGACGTGGTCCACGTGAAGGGAAGTGCCAACCTGATAGCGGATGCGCTGTCCCGGAGAGGGGGCCCCGAACTTCCCCAGGTCACTGGTCACAGTGACCCCGCTCAGTTCAGTCTCGAAGGGGGGAGAGATGTGACGATGTGACTCAGCAGGGAGGGGGGAGTGTTGACCTGGGAATGTGCCCTGGGGATGGGAGACCTGAGAGCCTGTCACCTGAGCCAGGAGGGGGAGGGGGAGGTGACACCTCTGCCCAGGAATGTGAACAGAGGCTGCAGCAGGGAACCTGCGGGGTGAGTTTAGTTGGCAGTTTGGAGGCTGGGGGGAGGAACACAGGGAACCCCAGGGCTGGGGTCTAAGCTCCCTGCTCCCCCAGAAGGACGTGATTGAGGGGTCCTGGTTGTACCCACAAGCTCTGTTGTGGACTGTGTTCCTGTTGTCCAATAAACCTTCTGTTTTACTGGCTGGCTGAGAGTCTCAGTGGATCCCAGGAAGAGGGGTGCAGGGCCTGGACTCCCCCACACTCCGTGACAATATTGAACTGAGTTATTTTAACTCAGATTAAAAAGTGAAACACTGAAACCAAGTTCTGAAAAACACAAGTGAGGCTCCAAGACGCATTCAAAAATCATGCTGCCTCCTACCCCCAGGGCTCTTGCTGGAGTATTTGACATTATTTGACTGAGGTCAAACAGGCAGTCAATTGACCGGCCTGCCAAGCCTACTGGGACCCCCAGCTGGGGCTGGTCCACGGCAATCAGACGCAGGGTGAGGGAGACGTTTGTCACAGTAAATTTGCCTGGCAAGAAGGATTCCAGGGACACTCCCAGCCTGGGAGGGACTGACACAGCTCAGAGCATTTCACCCCAGGCACAAGATCAACAGCTGGACGTTCAACCTCACAACAAACAGCAGGTGAACAACTGAGAAGAAGGTGGGAACTTTCACTCAGGGACATGAAAGCCACAAGGGGGCGACAGAAACCACAGCCACGGGAAGTGACCTGTTGCACTGTGGGCCAGGAATGATGGAACTTAATTCACCTCTGTATCCGAGCAATCTGCACCCGTATAATCACAGTGACGCAGTGACATCAGGGCAAACACCTCCTGGAGATGCGCTGGAGCAGTGCGGCTCGCTCTGGTAACTTCCTGCAGCGAACTGCACCAAGGCAAGCTCCTTTGTGCACCAGTGTGGTGCGTCTCCTTTAGCGGTTTGCCCCAATTCAACGGCACGGATGTCATGACATCGGCACAGAGGATTCCTAATGCAGACAGACCTGGATTCAATCCCCTCTGCCAGCAATCCCACCCCTGACAGTCTCCAGCACCCCCTGCCCCAGACAACGGGGGGATACAGCAGGGTTCATGTTCACGGCAAACAGATGCCCTCTGCACGAGCACACGCTGTCTGTGCAGCCCGGGGGAGTGAATGGTGCTAAGGGACCCTTCCTGGCCAAGCTCAGTGATTGGGGGGTTTCCACACTGCGCTGGTGGAGGGGTCTAGACTGAGTTCTACGGCTCATTTCAGTAACACGGCAGCACCTGCCGCCCGGCCACAGGCGTGACCTGAAGATCCAGGAAGGCCAGGCTGGTAACCTCAGAGCAACACAGGGAAGGCAAAGGGCTCAGGGTTGCACTGCACCCTGTCCCACTGGACACCCTGGTCAGGGACTGCTTCATGGCGCATGGCAAAGGTGACTTGGACCCAAAGTGCTCAGAGATGGGCTGGGGGGGCTAATGTCAGTCAGATCGTCCCGACACAGAGAGTGCCCAGGTGCAGGGGTCTGGGAGGGAGCAGAAGGAGGGTCGTGGAGGAACATCCCCCAGGAATCCTCTGTCCCAGGGGCAGAAGCCAGACAGGCCGGGAGGAGAGAGCGACCGTGGTAGGTCACGGGAGAATGGGATGCACGGAGATCGTAACTGGAGGAGAAGGGAGCAGGGCGGAAGCTGGGAACTCACCTGCCAGAGCAATGATGGCAGCGATCAACGCAGACCATACAACTATCACTGCAACCACAACTCCACAGGTTGGACTTTTCTTGCAGTTCCAAGGAGGGTCTGAAACAGAAAGACCCGTTAGGCAGGGCTGGGAGGACACGTCTCACTGACAGCACCGGGCTGGAGCTGCCCTGGAACATGCACCGTTCTTGTCTAGTTTTTGTAAAGCTCTCCAACACCACTTTCTACAAACCATTACCCTCTGATCCCACTGAGGGTTTCCAAAAGTTAGTGCCTGTCTCACCCACCGCAACCTGCAAGGTCTCGTGCCAGCAAAGGGAAGCTGCTCCCAGATCTGGAGCTGCATTCGCATGACCTGAGGACTGTCCTGCACCATGGTCACCATGGGCAGGTAGGTCATCAACCTCCATCTCTGTCCCAGCTGCAGGATGGCCTTTGGTTCCTGCTCCCTCAGACACCTGGAGATGCTTAAATAGGGGTGGGGTTGGCAGAACAGGAGAATACCCCATGAGGTTAAGAAATGGCAGTGAGAGCCTTTTCCCTCCCTGGGAGATTATGGTGTCCCTCTGTGGGGACTCCCTTCCTGGCAGATGCTAGTGAGCTATTGAAAGAGCTCAGCCTGTTTAGATTATAAAAAAGATCGGGAGGTGACATCATTGAAGTGTTGAAGTGACTTCATGGAGAGAAAATATCAGGTATTAAAGGGCTCATTAATCTAGCAGAGAAAAGCATAACAAGACCCAGTGGCTGGAAACTCAAAAGAGACCAATTCATATGAGAAAGAGGGCACACATATTCAACCGTGAGGATGAATCACCAAAGGAACAAACTAGAAAGGGAAGTGGTGGGAATTCCCCACCTCTTGATGTCTTCTAATGAAGACTAGATGGCTTTCTGGAACGTGTGTAGTCAAAAACTAGCTCCTATGCTCTACAGAAGGCATGTGATATGCAGGGGGTCAGAAGACATGCTCTAATTGTCTCTTCTGTCCATAAAGTCTGCTAATTTATGAAAAACTGAGCGTAGCATGGGGAGAAGCCTCTGATGTTTTACTGTGTTCGGCTTGAGCCCACAATGAACGCTCATTGAGTGGGGTGATCCAGGGGAAGCAGCTCAAACATCCAGTGTGGCTGGACAGGGGTAGGACATCAGCACTGCAGGAGAGGGGTGGGTGTGGCAGTGACATCACAAGGGCCTTTGGCAGGACCTCAGCCTATTGGACAAAGGTGGTGGGGAGGCGATGACCTCACAGAGAGATCTTGACATCAGCCAGGCAGGACAGGGGTGCAGGACAGGGGCAACCTCGGAGATCCCTGTGGCTTTGCTTCAGCACGTCTCCTTCTCGAGGTCTCTCCTGGAGGACTGAGAGAGCATTCACTTGCACGTACGTGAGCGCAAGGAGGACCCTCTTCGGAGTTTTCTCCTTTTCTTTTTGTGGTTTTGCTCGAAAACAGACGTCCCTGTAGAGAAGGTAAGAGCCTCGGAGAGGTTTGGAACCTGTTCAGTCTGATCCATCAGGTGCCGGCTGATTTTTAGGAAAGGAAAACATTAGATTGTGGGGGCAGTATTTTATTTCCGACCTAGGACTTTGTCCCTTAGAATTACTGGGGACATTGGGGTTTCTCCTTTTTGTTTTCCCTTTTCCTCTGTCCCTCCTACCTTTCTCTTCTTGCTTCCTTTGTCCTTTTCCTCTGCTCTCCTCCCACCACCAGGAGCTCTGTGTGTGGAGCGGGGTCCGGGAGGGGGTTGTGGGAGGCCCTCACAGAGAGGTGAGACTGGACTAGTGCTCCGAGAGTGATCCCCTCGGTGGTGGCCAGGGCCATTCTTTGGGCTATTTGATGAGAACCCTTACCCTCCCACCCCTCAAAGTCTCAACCCTGATTGGCTGAGGAGGGGGCTATTGACAGGGAGGAAACTCTGGTCTTTGTTGTTCTCTTTTATGACCAAGCAAATAAGTCACAACCAGTTATCTGTTTGACCAATGTTGATGCTGCTCTCCATTCATTGTCTCGGAGCAGTTCATGATCCTCTCGAACATTCCAATTCTTCTGAAATACTTGCTGAATAATTCCGATGAACAATTGTTGGTCTGTAGCTCATTTGAGAGCAACTCTGCGACTGACTGGCTGCATCAGCTAAGACAAGTCCCCGCTCCTTTCTCAGCCTTCGTTTCTCCTTCTGTCAAGTACGAATAACAATCCTCTCCCACCTACCTCACCATGGGTGAATGCTGGGGATCCACTGAAGAGTGTCACTCGGAGCAGTGCAGACTAGGGGGTGTCCTATCACACTGAGCCATAGCAGATTATGACCTAATATTCGATTGGATTTGTATTTTATTGTTTTGAAATTGTGAAGAGCAGCAACTACTTAGCTCAGACTGAAGCATCTCATCTAATTTTCTAGAGCATAGTGTCTCCCCTTTGTGTACGATGAGACAGTTTAATGCGCTGTGACGGACAGGAGATGCTCTTGTTTTGCAAACAAATACTTTTGCAAAGAATTTTCATCCTACTTGTTACGATTTCAAGAAACAAAGTGATTTCGTCTGAATGGATTTTCTGACAGAAAACGGTTTCCATGCAAATTTTTCACACCTTATTTCCTGGACTTTATCACTGCCTCCGGGGGGGGTTGTTGTCTGTTAGAACAGGAGTCAGGACTGTTGTCTTCTCTTTTTGGCTCCCTCACCGCTTTGCTGTGTGACACCTTGGGTAGGTCCAATGGGAACAGGGTCAATTCTCTAACTCCAGGCAGCAGTGAGCCTGGGTGAGATGAGGGATGTTAAGGCCGTCTGCAAAGGAGAAAAGGATGTTTCCAGGTGCTGAATGTCAAGAACTCTAAACTTTGCTAAAATGGCTAGTCCAGAGAAACAAGAACTAGTTGGGGCCAAACTTTAACGATTGTCTTTTTTAAAGCCCATTCAGGGATGTGAGTCCCAGAGAGCCTAGAGAGGGGGAGCAACTTGCCCAAAGTCCCACAGATCAATAGGCAGCAATGGAAGCAGGAGTGACCCTCCCTCTCAAAGGCAGGGGGACCAGCCATTAGGGCCTGGTTGCAATTGCCAGCTGTGGGAGGGAGTGTGCGGCAGTGGTTAGTGAAGGGGTCCATCCATGGCTCTGACACCCAGTGTGACCCTGAGCTGGTAGCTGAGGCCCGTTTGCCGTCAGTCGGGTTGGGGTCCCATCGCTCCAGCCCAGCGGGGTTGGGAGGCTCCAGGAAGGTGTGTAAAGTGCTGGGATGTCAGGATCCTGGAGGCGCTGTCACCTCCGCCCTAGGGCAGTGTTCGGCACCCCCTGCTGCTGGCTGAGTTTCTCCGTCCCTTGGCAATAAGACAGACTCTTGTTTTCACAGCCAGTCGATCGCCCTCGTGTCATCACCCTGCCTGCTGGCTGGGCAGGGTAACTCCTGAGGTCACCACCCTCTCCAGCCTGCCTTGGGCTTGGAGAGTGAGGAGGAGGGCGAGGGACGTCTGCTGACCCTGAACATCCGCCATCCATCATACCATCACTGAGAGCAAGTGAGTGGCATTCGGGTTCCTCGGTGTCTTCCCCTGTCTGTGTGGGGAGAGGCAGAAACAGGGGAAGAGAATATCTCCAAAGGGGGATTTCATTTGCAAACAGCCCCCAAGAGACCCTCACTCTTAGGCCAGGCAGAGGCTTCTCCAGAGCCGTCTCCAGTGTGTTTGGAAAGGTTCCAGCAATGGGGCTCCCAGCCCTTCCCTTGTGGGACACTGGCTGAGAGTCTCTGAGCTGGGCCAGACCCTGTGAGCTGCTGAGCCTGGAAATCAATGGGGAACGAGGAGGGCTCTGGTCTTCCTGTGCTTAGGGTCTTTGTGACTTTGATGTGGAGAATGGTTTCGCAGGAGAAGTCCGGGCTCCTGGGTTCTGTTCCTTCTCTAGCCTGGGCGGGAGAGTGGCCTGGGACGACAGGAGGAGGCTGCTTGTCCAGAGTAACCGATGGTCTTTGGGACTGACCCCATTGCTGGAAAAGGATGAGACTTCCTGGCTATTGCAGCAGCAGGGATTACGAGGGGGAACGTTGGGAGCAGATCATGCAATGAACTCCTGCCCGTGTGTGTAGATGGCACTCCCTGCACTCCTGTGGGGGCAGAGGGGGAGGCTGTGGTTGGAGCAGGGAGGAGGAGGGACGGAAAAGGCCCAGGAGTGAAAGGCTGCCTTGAGCCCAGACTCACCCCTGCTCCCCGCTCAGTTCCAGGATGGCCAGGCTCCTGCGGATGTTGCGGAGGAAGGCTCTGCAGGTGGCCCCAGAGCCTGAGGGAAGCAGCTGCCATCTTCCCAAGGGGCAGAGCAAGCCCTGCGTCCCCGCTGGCGGGGAAGCAGGTCCCGTCCAGGCCAGACGGCGGAAGTGCCCGGCCTTCTGGAAAAGGACCCCGGCTCCCGGCGCAGGCGCCGAGCTGGGAGAGGCCCCGACCAGGCCCCAGTGGAGCTGGCCCAGGCTGCGGTTTGGCAGACAGGACCCAGCCCAGGAGGGGCGCCGGGCAGGGTGGCTCTGGGGCTTGTTGTGTGGGCAGCAGCGGCCCCAGGAGCCCAGCCCTCCTTCCCATCAGGAGGCCTCGCCCTGCCCGCTCTCTGAGGACCTTCCAGCCCCCGCAGGCCAGGAGGGGGAAGGTCCCTGTCCCAGCACCGGCAGCTCAGCCTGGGACAGCGGCAGCACCTGGGCCTCTGGCAGCAGCCAGGCCGATGGAGGCCACTGCTTTGTTCCAGGTGAGGAGCCAGGCTGGGCTCCGGGAGGGCTGAGGACGGGATGTGAACACCCTGGGCCCAGACACTCTCCCAGTGATATGGGGGGGGGTCCCAGCCCAGGAGTCTGGCCTGAGCCCACTGAGAGCAGCAGCCGTCACACAGCTGCCCCTTCCGCACGGGGACCTGGGGGTGGGGGCGTGAAGAGCTGCTGCCACGTTGGTCCTTGCTGCTCCGGGCGGGGGGAACAGGCACCTCCCCTGGAGTCCTGGGCAGGGGAGGGGGGCTCTGCTCTGGGCTTCGGCAGCTGTTGGGGGCTGAAGGCATCCCTGAGAGGGAGGTTTGGGGCCCCATCTGCCCTGGGGGCCTGAGGTGGGAAGGGGGGTCTTGAATCCTGCTCTGCCCACCACGCCCCTGTCCTTCCCTCCCTGGTGCAGGGACCCCCCTGGATTCGGAGCAGGAGGAAGGGGTGCACATGGCCAAAGATGAAGCTGCTCTCAAGGTCATCCGAGAGCAGCTCCAGTGCAGAGATAAGGTACAAATGTTCCCCACCTGGGCTGGAACCAAGATTGCCCTGTCCCTTCCCAGCATCCCCACCCCCTGCCGAAGGTCTTGTCCCTCCTGATCCACCACCCCTAATGGGGCCCTTTTACATCCATGATGTGGGACCCCCAAGATGGGGGTGTTTATCCCACAACAGCCGAGGTCGTCTCCCCCGACAGGCACTGTCCCAGTTCCTGATCCTGCTTGTGTAGGAGTGGTGGGGGATTTGGACAATAGGCGGGTCCCCACAATCCCCCATTGAGGAGCTGGTGTGGGTGGGGCAGGAAGGTCCCTCGCTAACAGGTTCTCTCTCTATACCCTACTCCTGGTGGGTACAGGATGAGGGGCAGCAGCTCCTGTTCCTTCAGGCCATCTACCCCGCATGTCTGGCTGCACGGGAGAGAGGGGAGGACACGCTGGAGCCGCGCTGCTGCAAGGCGGCTGTGGTGAAGAGGATCGTGGTGAGTGAGACACGCCATACGGCAGCTGGAGGGAGGGGGGGAATTGTGGGGCTGGAGGGCAGCTGAGAGTGGGGGACAAGGAATCACATGGTCCCAGCTCGGTCGTCGGGATGGGGCTGAATGCGGACAGTTTTAACAGGGAGGAGGAGAGAAGGGGATTGGGAGTGAGCTGGGCAGGAATCGGGGAAGGGGGACAAGTCGGATGGGCAGGAAGGAATCGGGGGAGTGGGAGGTGGTGGGGAATCCTGCTGGCCATGTGGGGCAGTGGCTGTGTCATCTCCTCACTGGGAGGTGTCAGTCAGGCCTGAATCTCACACACTCCTTTGTCTCCTTTGCGTCTCACAGGAGCTCATCGAGGAGCTTCCCGATGACTCGTCACCCAGCGCCGTCTTCGCCCACACCCTGGCTGCAGTGGGCTACCTCTGGTACCGAGACAGCCCCACCCCCACACCCCGCCGGCTCCCCTCACCCCAGTGCTGCTCAGGCCAAAGGCTGGGAGTCACCGTCACTGTCCCTCCCAGGTCACCTCCCAAAAGTGGCGCCTCTGGCAGAGACGGTGGGGTGGGAAGGGTCACTCTCTCCTGGCAGGGCTCTTCTTTTCACTCCCATAACATGACAGGGGCCTTGGGGAGGGGCTCACTCCCGGGCTTAGATACAGGAGGGGCAGCAGGCTACAGGGAACAGGAGCTATTCCTGTCCTGCCACTGTGTGTCTGGGACGCCTTGGCCTTGTCATTCCCAAGCTCAGTGCCTCAGTTTCCATTCTCGCCAGCCTGTGCCTCTATCCCTGTGGGTTGGTGTCTGTGTTGGCGACAGTCCCACCCCCGGTACTGCACAGTCTAATACCAGCTCTTCTCTCTTGCCAGCACCATGAAACCTGCCCTGGAGCCAGCCCTAGAGACCCACCTCTTGCGAGCTGCCCTTCACTCCGTCTTCACCCTGGGCACGGAGAAGGACACCACCGACATCCAGGTACCTCCTCCTCCTGCATCCTCTTACTTTTCCAGAGTGGTCCTTGGTCCCTGCTCCCTTGATTCGCTGGAGCTCCAGATTTAGGGGTGGGGTAGCAGAGATGGAAGAAGCTGCAGGGTTGGATCCTTGCCTCCAGCAGGGAAGAGATTGCCCCTCCCTGGGGGATTTCTTTCTTTCTTTCTTTCTTTCTTTCTTTCTTTCTTTCTTTCTTTCTTTCTTTCTTTCATAAGCTGTGTTTTACCCAGAAGCCCAGCTTCCATCCATAGCAACTTGGCTGTTTCATACTCTTCTGCCTACAAGGCCCTCTGCAGAGACCTGCTAAGCTCATGGATCAAAGGTCCAGGGGTCATCAATTCTTGCGAATTGCCTGCAGTGGGATGTGAAGGAGAGAGGCCAGGAGATGTGTTTGGGAGTCTCCCCAGTGCTTCCCAGAGACCCCTCTTCCCATCCTGTGGCAGGTGTAGGCCCAGGTTCCCTAACTCTGACCCATGCTTTGCAGGCTCTGCACAAAGTCATCCCAGAGGTCCTGGATGCCATGCTGGGGAACCTGCTGGCAGAGTCCCCAGACACAGACAGGCTCCACTTCATCTTGGAGGTGAGCCCCATTTCACCTGAACTCTTTGGAGGACTGGTAAGGAGAGACTGGAAGATCCATTTTCTACTGTGTCCTCCTAGCTGGGTCCCCAGTGGGCCGTCCTTGGTTGGGGAGGTCAGTGCAAGCAGTATCAGGTCCTTCCTTCTTGAGGGACAGAGGAAGGAGCTGGGATTTCAAGCCAGAGCTCTGTCTGGTTCTGCTGAGCACTAACCACACGGTTCCTGGCTGTCTTGGGGATTGAGAGTCTGAAAACCCCTTTCCCCCACCCCTCCAACACACAGAGCCCATGAGATTCGGGAGATGGTTCTCAGAGCAGAGGCACATGCTCCTTCCTAGAGAAACAGGAGGAGCCCAGGGAATCAGCCCTTCCCTCTGATCTGCTCTGAAATTCCTGGGGGGATTGTGTTCTCAGTCACTCCCTACATCCCCGCAAGGATTTGCGTAGCAGGGAAGGGCCGAGGGTTCAGTCTCCTTTCTGGTGAACTGTTCAGGAATCAGGAGTTCTGGGAGGAGGGGACCAGCCCCGACCCCGAACATTGTCCCAATCTAGAGAGACGCTGACAAGTTGTGACCTGCAGGGTACAAGCTGCGTCCTGGGGGAAAGAATCCCCTTCTAAAGCTCTGCCACCAAGGCCTCAGATATTCCCCCCTGCGCAGAATGTCTCAGGCCCCTGGGGCTGGGGGCGTGGGGAACTCATTTTCAAAGCAGGTGCACCTGGCCACTGAGTCTGACCTGCCTCCTTTCCCTGCAGAATATCAACTTGTGGGTCGTGTCCAGGGTGTCGCAGGAGCGAGCCAGGGCCATCAGGAGCAGCACAGCCCTGCTGAGATACACAGTCACCCTCCCTGAGTTTGACGTAAGTGACCTCCGACCCCAGCTTGCTGGCTCCAGGCAGAGGCGGGCTGGCTCCAGCGGGCTGCAGGATCTGCTGCTGCCGGGGCTGTGGCTTAGGAGGGTTCTTCATGGGGAGGCAGAGTCAGAGCAGGGACTGAGCTAGGCTTGAGTCAAGTTCTTCTTGTCCTGGTTCAGTGTTGTCCCTGGGCCTTTAAGGGGCCCATGCTCCAGCCCCTGCTTGGCATCCCAAAGCAGCTCCGGGCTCCCTTGGCAGCAGAGCAAATGAAGGGTCGATCTCAAGCTCCTCTCCCCCAGCATCTCCTGCAGAGGAGCTAAGGGGAAGGAGCCCTCTGGCCCAGGGGAGCTGACAGGAAAATGCTGATGGAGTCCCCTCTCCTCTCTCTTCCATTAGATCTCTGCCGAGTTCCCCAGGATGGGTCACCATGTGGCCCAGCTGGCTCTATTTGTCAGCGATCCAGACAAGGACATCAGCCGGCAGGCCAGGGAGGGGACTTACCGGCTCTACCAACTGCTGCTCCAACAGAGGGGTAAGGAACCCAGCTGGGACACAGAACCCAATAGGGGACTGAGAGTGACCACAGGTGGATAATGGGACCCCAGACCATTTCTCTCAGACTGACCCCAGCTGGAGGACAAGTCTCTCTCTGCCTCTGTTCTTCTCCACTCCACTGTGGAGCCACCAATGGGATTGGAAGGACACAGAAACTGCAACCAGAAGGAGAAAAGTCTCTCTCTCTCTCTCTCTCTCTCTCTCTTCCAGGCCTGACCATACATGACGCGGAAGATCTCTGGTGCTATGACTGGCACCAGGACAGAAGGCTCTTAGGCTACAAGAATACAGCCAGAGTGGGGGAGGTAAGGGCACTGTGCCAGGGCATGACAGCTCAGGGAGTGTGGCTGGCTGGGTTCCCTGCAGTGGATGCCTCCTGGAGACAGGAAAAGAGCCCACTCCTTATTTCCAGTTCAGAGTTCCTCATCCAGCAACCAGTGGGACAGGCTGGTGCTAAAGGTCCCACATTGGAACCTCGCTAGTTGCCGTGATTTGAGTGTCTTACATGGCTGCATTGCTCCGTGGCATAAGGAGCATCTGGGACCCTGAAAGCCTCCTATGGAATGAACTGCCTTGGCCACAGCAGCTCTCTTCCCCGCCCTTTGGGGCACTAGACGCCATTGTACCGCCAGGACTTGGAGGCTGGCTCTGGGCAATCTGCTCGAGTCCCGTGTCCTCTTGGTTTTAGGTCTTTGGAAAATTCTTCTCCATTGGTCAGAAGAGATCCTTCCTGCAGACAGCAGTGCTGGCCATCTACGACCGTCTGTTGCGTGTCAGCCAGGCTGGGCTGGTGCTCGTCTACTCCCTCCTGGGGGAAGCCCAGCGACTGCTGGGGGTCACGGTAAGCAACTGCAATCGACTCAGGAGCTTGGGGTGGGGGCCAGGGCCTCATTCCCATCCTATTGCCATTCGTTGGCCCGTTCAGCAGGGCTGCCATCCTGTGGCTTTAGCTTTTGTCACTGGGGTGACTTGGGGAAAGGTCTAAACCTCTCCCCATCCCACTTCACTGCTGCCAGAATCCCTTCTGCCCCCCGCCACCCTGCTAGAGCCCCCTCCCTGCCCTACCTGGGTGGGGATGGAGGTGGGGGTGGAGGAGAGGGTTCTAGGAACTTGAGCGGTCTCCCCAGGTGGGTTGGAGGTGGAACAGCTGTCAGGGGCATGGATGGGAAGGTGGCAGGAGCCCACCCGACAAGGAGGGGGGTTGGGACTGGAGGTCACTAGAGAGGACAGCAAGCCTTCATCCTGGGCGTCAGGAGGGTGAATCCACCACTCAGACATGAGCAGTTGCTGGGTGGAAATGATGGTGCTGGTTCCAGGTGCCCTTAATTCTCCCTGATTCCTGGGGAGTGTCTCCGTCTCTGACATGTTCTCGTTCCCCTGCAGCACGAGGATGTCACAGCCAAGGTCATGGGCCAGCTTCACATCATCAGGCACTTGCACCAGATGCCCGAGGCGCTGCAAGGGCTGTGGCTCATCTGATGCTCTTAAAGGTTCCCCTCCCTGTTCAGCAAGTCCCGCTCCCTGCTGCAGGTACTGCTCTGTCTCACTGTAAATGCGGGGCTAGTGGAAGCGGATATGGAGGCCCCTGGCACTCACAGAAATTCTCTCCCCTCTCTGTGGAGCTGGTCCTTCCCTCGGCCCCCCAAATTCCTTCATCTGGGGCAGGAGCTCTTTCCCTCCCACCCATACCCCTCCCCTCTTTGCTTGATCTGACCCCCATCCCATTCCCCGTGCTCCCAGGCAGAGATCTTCCTGCCCCATATGGCGCAGAAGGACCTTTGTGTCAGGGCGACAGACTGTCTGCCCAACTGAAGCTCAGGAAGCTCCACATTTGCGGAGGTGAGGATGGGACAGAGGCTCAGGGCTAGCTTCATCTCCTGCCCTTTATTCTTCTTTGGGCTCTCAGAGTCTGACATGAAGAGGAGCCTCCTCCCCCCGTGTCTTCTAGGCCCTGGGGTGTGTGACAGCCTCCCAGATGGGTGCAGTCAGAAGCTGAACCACCTCAGGGAGCAGTGGGGACAGGTCCCTTGTCCGAGGAAACCAAGCAGTGGTAGTTCTCAAAGAGGCTGAGAGGGAAGACCCCGTTCCCTCATGGAGGTAAGAGCCATTGACTTCTTTGGGCATCTGGGTTTCTTGGGGGAGAAATGGGATCCCTGCTGCATAGCCTGGCTGGGAGCTTCCCCCATCCCTGGGACAGAGACATCTCCATCAATGTGCCACCCTTGTTTTTTTCCTAGCAGGAGGCTCCCCAGAGAACTCCTCAAAGCTGTTGTCTGGGAGCGTTTCTGGGAGGAGGCTCCCTTCCCTCAGTCTCCAACTCAATCATGCAGTCTCTTTCACCTAACATCTCCGCTCTCCAGCTCCACTTCCCGCAGCAGGACAAACGGACCTTCAGCTCCTAGAGAACAGACTCTGACCTCCTTCTGATCAGCAATGGGGTTTCACCATCCCCTCAGCAAACCTGTCAGCCGGGCTGGACCGGATTTGGAGTCCAGGGTAGGACTGGGTTCTCTCACCGTCCCTAAGGAAGGGGACACAGAAGACCATGGAAACCCAAGAAGGGCAGGTCGAGCCGAAATCAGGCTGAGGCAGAACTCCCCACGAGGGTGGAAGACCTTGTTTCTGTTCAAGACATTTTTGGACTTTGTTTGGAAGGAGCATGACCCAGGAAGGAGTGGAGTAAAGGCCAGTCACCTGGTTGGAGAGCTGAGTTCCCAGCCAACAAACTGCAAGAGTGAGTATCAGCGGGGTTGCTAGCCCAGCTAGAAAGCAGTGACACGAGGTCTGGACAGCATCTAGCGGTGAGTGAACTCTGGTACGCACCTGCTTCCATTCTGGAAACAGCCTGGTATTGGAGAATGGGTGGGGAGAGCAGGGAGGTGAGAGGGGTTCCTGAGGCTGGGGTGGGGAGGAAGCTGTGGGGCTGGCAGGGGAAGGACATGGCCCAGCTTGTGGGAGGGATCCTGCTGGCTGTGTCTGGAGCCCTGTGTAGCCTCTTCTGTGGGAAGTTCCCATGGATCAGTGGGGCCTGAATCTCTCCTGCTCCTTTGGTCGCTTTGGGCTTCACAGGAGATGTCTGGTGAACTGCCCTTGGACTCTGGGCCCAGCACCACTCAGAAATTTTTCGCTACCTTCAGAGAGACAGGGCACAGCTCAGCCTGTTGGGTAGGCTGGAGACTCACACTTCACTCAAACACACAACACTGAGGTGCTTTGGGAAGCATAGTAACAAAGAAGAGATTTAAGTGAAACTAAGCAAGAGAAAGAGACAAATTTCAAACAGACAAAGAAAACAAAACATACTTTGTAGTGACTTAAACTGAACCTTAACAAGTCACAATCTTTGCCTTAGCAGTTTCCAGACTAACATCTCAGCTTTCCTAACATACCTTCATTGATGTCCCTGTAGGGTACAAAACCACTCTGTCGAATCCGCTGTTTTGATTGCTTCGTCTTCTGGTTTCAGACCCTCTGTTCTCCTTCTGGGCTGCCTGGACCCTGACTATAACATCTCTCTGGCCCAGCCTCTTACACAGATGTGTGCTGCAGCCAGCCCAGCGCAGGGAGCAGTGGGGACAGATGATCTCATCCCGTCAGACCAAGAAACAGGGGTCCCAGTGAGGCTTAGATGTAAGATCCCAGGCATGTCCTGAAGGTAAGAACCGTCCACTCTTCTGGGCACTTGGGGTTGTTGCAAGAAAGAGGGGGCTCCTGTTCCATAGCCTATTTGTCCTCATGACTGTGTTTTTTTATTCTCAGAGGATGCGTCCGGGACCCTGGAGACTGTTTCGTGCAGGAGGTTTGAGCGGGGAGAGATCAGTCACTGTCATGACCCATGGGTCATTAACCCGGGTCTGCAGGGTTCCTGGGAGCAGCCACCCTCCAGCACGCCACCTGGAAGCCTACGAAAAACTGCTTACCGAGGACTGATGAAGTCCAGACCCAGTTTGAGGCTCTGTTGGCAGAGTCCCAGAGCAGCTAATCGGCCCCCAGGACCTCCTTAAACCAGCAGCAGGAAGAAGAAGCTGTCTATACACGCGAGCTCCCACCCGCCCCCTCTGGACCGTGTGTTAGCTGTCCTGCTCCCACTCCCCAGGCTTGATTTCCTGGCATCCGGACTCGGGGTGACTCATCTGACTTGAGGTGCTGAACACAATTTGGTCTTTTGCTTCTGCTCTTCCAGTGTCCTGACCCAGCTGACTCTCGACTCCTGTCTCATGAGTGTGGACTCTGCCTCTGACCACTAGATCTGGCTGCCCATGACTCGGCCATGACACTGACTTTTCTACAATTCCTCCAGTGCCCTTTTCTGCTCTCCAGCTCTGCTCTCCCAGCAAGACACACTGATGCCTTGGCTCCCAGAGTCCTGCTTGCCTGCTAGTCAAGGGCTCAGGGGGAGAGCTTGTCTTGCCCCCTCCCCCACCACAGCTGCTTTTCCTCTGGGACTCTCCCTAGCGCAGAGGAGAATCAGTCCTGGCAGCAATTCAGGAAGTCACAGAAGGGACGGTCTGCTCAGCTCCCTCTGCAATGCCACTGCCCGAGACCATTACGAGTGGGTGCCCAGTGACTGCGCCGGCAGCTCCTTGAGAGACTCCTGGGGCAGGGTAGTTGTGTTTCCCGGTGACCGCGGGAAGCCATGCAAAGAGTGCGGCATTGAGGAGACTCTCCTGCTGTCCCAAAGGGTTTCTGTTCTCCTGCACGGTCAGACCGTGGGGCCGGCTGGCAGAATGGGGAAGAGCTGGTTGGTGATGAGTTGGAGGATTCACCATAGAGTTGGCAGCAGCTGCAAATCCTGGAGTCCCTGTGGTCGGGTTACCATGCGTCCGGATTTTCCTGGACATGTCCGGCTTTTGGGGTTTTAAATCGCCCTCCGGGAGGAATTTGTAAAACTCTCCAAAGGGCCGGGATTTCCCTCCCAATGCAGCACTCTGGGGGCAGGGGGTGGGGAGCTGCGCGCTCTGCGGGGGAGCGCGGCACTGTGTCTGGCTCCGCACCCCAGACACACTGCTCTGAGCAGCAGGGTAAGGGGGCCGGGGGGCTGGAGAAGGGGCATGGGGTCCCAAGGGGCAGTCAGGGGACAGGGAGCAGGAGGTGTTGGATGGGTCAGGGGTTCTGGGGGGAGCCTGTCAGGGGGTGGGCATATGGAGAGGGGTCGGGGATACAAAACAATGAGCAGGAGGGTTAGATGGGTCGGGGGTTCTGCGGGGGCAGTCAGGGGACAGGGAGTGGTTGGATAGGTGTGGGAGACCCAGGGGTCTGTCAGGGGGCAGGGGTGCGGATAGGGGGCGGGGCAGTCAGGGGACAGGTGGGGGGGGAAGTTCTAGGGGGCAGTTAGGGTGGGGGGGACTAAGGAGGGGGCAGTTGGAGACAGGGAGAAGGAAGGCTTAGATAGAGGGCGGGGTCCTGGGGGGGGCGATCAGGGGACAAGGAGCTGCGGGGGTTGGATGGGTTGGCAGTTCTGTGGGGGGCAGTCAGGGGGCAGGAAGTGGGAGGGAGTAGATAGGGGGCAGGGCTACAACTCCCCCCCCCCCCCGGAGTGTCCTCTTTTTTGAAAGTTCAAATATGGTAACCCTACCCTATGGGCCAAGCCTCCACTCCTGAGAGTTCAGGCGAACCTCCCCCTGTTCTCAGGGAGTCTTTGGCCAGAGGACTCAGTGTTTCCATCAGGCTGCTCAGTTGCAAATGCAGCCACCCAAAGGCGTGAAGAATGGAAGCGAAAGAGCAAAGCTGGACCCTCCGCTGAGCTCCTGCAATCAAGCGAGCCCAGCCTGGGAGAGAGGAGGGAAAGCTCCAAGGTGTCTGCAGGAATCCAGGGGAGGAGAAATAAATAGCTCATGATGAATCCTACGGGCTTTGTCTTGTGTGGTGAAGGGTTTAAAATGGGTCTAGTTACTATCACATTAAACTTGACAATGGCTGTGTCTGATTGAAGGGCAGGTCTGGAAAGGTCAGAGGTCACTTGAGGAGCTTCAAGTCTCCGATTCTGTCCCTATTGCCTGCTTTGACCAGCTGAGCTCACCCCAACACATCCCTCAGGTGGTTGCAGTGATGAGCTCTTTCCCCCTTTTTCTGGATTAGCCACCAACATGGGGACAGGATACATGTGGCCAAGGAAATGGAGGGGCGTGGGGGTCTCTTGCAGAGGCATGCAGAGAACTTGCAGAGTTGCCTGTTAATGCAGCTCCTCATGGGGGAGCACGGTAGGGTACCGTGCACGCAGGGGCACCATTTCAAATTTTGGTGGTGGCTGGGAGGATAATTTCACCATGATTCAAAGGGCTACTTAGGCAGCTGAAAACTCTAGTGTTTTGGCAGATAACTTAGCAAAGAGCTGACAGGAACACTTGCCAGACTGCTTTCTGGGGAAGACAGCGATAAGAATGGATCCAGGAAATGGTTCTGCATCTCTGAGCTGTTTGGACACTTTCAGGGAACATTCCAGATGCAAGAGAGAGATTCCCCAAAGTTATCCTGATAAACTTGGACTGTCCGAACCTGTTCATGTATTTTACCTGCTTTCACCTCTCAATAACTTTCACAAATAAAAGAAAGAAAATTAAATAAATGACGTAGTTACACCGATATAGGGCCGTAGCGCAAACCCGACCTCAGAGTTGTCCCATTGAAATGGAATTATTCACAGCAGTAATTAAAGTTAAACATGCACGTAAGTGTTTCCAGGGCCGAGATTAAGGCCACAGCTTATGAGAGGGGCAGACGCAAGAAGAGAAGAGCGGTGCAAAAACTGAAATACCACTTGGAACGTGGCCCAAACAATGCATCATGAAAAATAAACTCATCTTGTTATACAGTAATAGAGCTGGTTCAAAACGGTTTTACACTCACAATGCAACCTTTGAACTAAAAATGCCACTTTGGATTACATTGATCATTTGAAAAGAGTTCCCTTTTTTAAAAAAAACATTTTGGATTTCCCTGCCCACTTGAGAGAGAACGTGGAGGTTTTCCCACCAAAACTAAACAAAAATTTG